ATACCCAGGGCTCGGTTTACACCTATCGCCATTTCTAGCCACTGGGGGACCGACCATAGGCAGGCTAGGAGAACTCATATTAATGTTAAAAAACCTCATAAAGTGAAATTTTCATGCCATGGGACTTTTAAGAGACGATTTTTAAAGGTCAAGTGTGTAGTTTATGAAACAAACAGAATTAAATAAATAAATAATGACTGTGAAGGTTCAAAGGCCTAAAAGTTTGGGGTCAGTACGATTTTTTTATGTTTTTGAAAGAAGACAAAATAACAGTCAAAACAGCAATATTGTGGAATATTATTATAATTTAAAATAACTGTTTTCTATTTTAGAATATTTTAAAATGTAATTTATCCTTCTTGAGTAATTCTAATGTGCTGATTTGCTGCTCATGACGTTTGTTTTGGTGATTTCAAATGTCAACATTGGCTACCAGAAAACGCTTACCCCACCTTTAATACGTCTGTTAAAAATGAAAAAAATAAAAAATAAATAAAAAAAATGGATTTCAGGATTCAAAGATGAATAGAAAGTACGAAACACCATTCATGTCTTTACTTCTTCCCCCAATCATTTAATAAATAATGTATTATGAATAGTGAAATAATAAATAAAAGTATTATTTATTGTTTTGGTGATTTCAAATGTCAACATTGGCTACCAGAAAACGCTTACCCCACCTTTAATACGTCTGTTAAAAATGAAAAAAATAAAAAATAAATAAAAAAAATGGATTTCAGGATTCAAAGATGAATAGAAAGTACGAAACACCATTCATGTCTTTACTTCTTCCCCCCAATCATTTAATAAATAATGTATTATGAATAGTGAAATAATAAATAAAAGTATTATTTATTATGATTTATTTAAATAATAATAAAAAATCTTACTGATCTTAAACATTTAAATTAATGCTACTTTAGCTTGTTGCTCTCCTTATTTGTGTTACTGCTTGAAATTATTTTATTTTCTTTATTACTAATTTTACTTGTATTAATTATTATTCTTAATTTACACTTAAATTACTCATTAAATTAATTTGATTTGGTAGTATTTAATAATATAATACGAATATTACTTAATTTTTTTCTTAATTTTTTTAATAAAGCAGTGTGTCCCTTAGCATATTTTTCTTTATAAAAAAAAAAAAAGATTTATTTTTGGTTTTGGTTTCGTGACAACTCTAATGAGTTGTATTTCACATTAAGCACAGGAAAGACTTTTGCACTTGATTATTGGGTCTGTGATTCATTTCACATTTCCTTTTTACTCTCGGTGTGAACAGGCCTTCACTGCAGTAGAGAGGACATCACACTTTAGTTTGGGGATGAATTCTCACTATTAACTAACTATTAACGTCTGCCTCAATAAACTCCTAATTTGCTGCTTATTAATAATTAGTAATGCAACTGTTAAGTTTAAGTATGATTAAGCGATGTAAAATATGGTCACACAGAATGAGGCACTAATATGTGTTTCATAAGTTCTAATAAACAGCCAATATACTAGTAATATGCATGCTAATAAGCAACTAGTTAACAGTGAGAATTGGTCCCTATACTAAAGTGGTACTGAGAGGCCTGGCATTGTACTATTTTTGTTGCCATGACAACAGAGACACTCGCTGTCTTGTTTACAAATGCGTGTGATTATGTCAGCACGGCATCACATGACTCCAGCACACAAAGAGTGCAAAAGAGCAGGCCTCTTACAGCCGCTTAATTCCTCTAATTAATCCGTTTGTGGCTATAAAGTTAATTAATACTTAGCGATCATCCGGAAATCACGATGATGGCTGCGAATTAAGACTTGCTCAATTAAAACGTAAAGCTGCTTGAAGTGAAATTAACACGTCGGTTTTTAACCAAATATGCAAATGCATGTATGAGCTTGTTGGGGGGGGAGTTATGATGTTTTCTGTCTACTAAGATGCCCTTCGCTGTTTGTCAATTTTTTCTTGTGCAATTCGGTGGTGGACGAAGAATAAAATAAATACATCTGACAGAAGAGATAAAAGAAGTATATTAATTCATAGATGTTCATTTCTTTCTTCACTTGGTTACATCTAAAGCTCACTTGGATTTTAAACTTCATTAGTTCTAGTATTCTGGATCATTAGACATGACGTTATTTTTCCCTGGATGCCGGTCTGAATCAAACTGTCTATGCAGACTGGACAGCAAGGCAGATGCCTTCGGTTTCGGACACAGCCTTTATGAATTAGAGAGTGTTTGGTTAACAGGAAAACACAATCAGAAACAGGACGTGATGCATGAATGATGATCCGATGGCTGAGTATGACATGTATGTGAGATGTCTAATGCTGAAATAATCCCCTTTGAATTGATATTTCAAGCCTGTGTCGTTTCATAAAACATCCAATTTCTCAAATGTTTAGTCTATAATAAAGCTTCTAACTCACGGAAAGTTGTTCCAGCACAAAATCAAACTTTTACATTCACAAATCATAAAATATTTCCAGTAGACAGCCAGCATGTCTGAGACTGAAACATGTTGGGTTTTACATCTGGAGACTTTGCTAATTGCATTTGTGAGGTATAACTCTCGGGAATAATGTCACACTGCTGCACCATAACACCCGTTTCCTCCTGGCTCTGAACTCCTGGTGTAGTCTTAGCAGTACTAACCTCAGGCTCTACAGTAACTCCATGAGCCATTGTGGAAGGTTCCTCCGTGAAGGAAACCTCCATAGGTTCTTCCTCATGGGAGGTACAGGCTGGAGTTGGCTCTTTGGTAGGTGATAGGTTGGTTTTCTGCTCCTCCAGGCAGGGCTTGCTGTCATCCTCATTCTGGGAGACGTTTTCTGTGAGTTCAGCTGACGTCTCAGGAGGCTCCTCTAGTTCAAGGGATGACACAAGCTGCTGGACTGTGGACGTCTCTGGAGCTGAATCCAGTTTCTGCTCGTGCGGCTCTGAAACTTCAGGACCTTTTGTCTCCTGAGGAGACTCAACTGCAAGAAGCAGAAAAACATAAAAAATGAGATGTACAAAAATACACAGGGATTTTCCACTGTAGGTCAGAGGGTAAAATTTGACCATAATGTTATTATTATAAAAAAATACTAACCATATTGTTATGATTTCACAAATAAGTGCATTGTTTTAGCCACTTGGGATTATTTTACTATTGCTTGAATAAGATTGCAGAAATACTTTTGGGACGCTGACATATTACACTACACCCAAAACTATTTACAATAGAATTCTAATTCTATCATAAATTATGATTAATGTATCATATGAGCTCATATTGAATGAGAGTTATTTGTACCTTTTACAAAATAATTTTACACACTGCAATAATTAAAATAAAAAAATAACTTTACTCTTCTAAGCATATACTCTTCTTGCCATATATATCGTGATATCATTCTATCCCGATCTGTAAAATGCTGCTTATTTCTATAGGAAGTGTTTGGAAAAGGTATATAAAATGTGGGAGTGTATTCATCTTTATTGATTCAATTCTGGAGACTAGGCCTAAATATGGTAAAAGTTCCATCTTTACATGTCTGATTTAAGTTTAGAAATTAGTGGCTGATTATTTTTCATCAAATAATTATATAATATCTTTAGGTATTTGAACCCCCAAATATTTCAAAGAATTCTCTCCCCATATAAACTCAAATACAAATAATTGCTTGTGGAAGATGAGTGTCTTCAGCTGTTGTTGTCAAATGTTCATCAAACTGTCAGAGAAAAACTAAATTTTTCAACAAATTCTAAACCGCTTGTTTTGAACATCCCCTAAAAACGGACATATCCAAGAATGGTGGTTATGGTTAAGATAAGAGCATCTTTGATAACATTAACCGTGTATGTGTCACTGGAGGCAAAGAGAGTGGATGAAGTACCTGAAGTCCGCTCATTTTCCGCGCTGTGGTCTGAGGTCTCGCTGCACTCTGGCTTGGCTAAATCGCCACTAGCATTTGCACCAATTTCTAGAGGAGGGGGGAAAAAGTCAATAGACAGTCCCGACTTGTGTTATGCAATACAAACTGCTCCAAGCACTAGTGGAAATAATTACAGGACTGGAAAAACAACTCAACAGGGCACATATGGCATGTGTGCTATTCAGAAAACATTGTGCTCAAGAGAATACAATGGCTTTGAGCAGTACACAAGTACTCAAAGTAATCTACGCCTCTAATTAGGTCGATTTATCCAGTGTTGGCTTATATACCCTCCGTACATTTGATTTGTGGCTCTTGACTACACTCTAACATGCTTTATTGTCCTCTCACTGTCTATAATGTCATTCTCTTCTGTTCAATGCATGTCTGGAACAACAAATTTCCACCTCAAGCACTTAAATCCATTGATTTTGAGGGCCTTATCAGATAAATCCCCTCATATCTTCTCTAGGAAGAGATTACCAGCCATTAGAGAGATCACGTAATCACAGAAGACTAAATGACTATCGTCCGGCGTGGCTGACATTAGCTCAGCACTTCCGAGGTAATTAGAGGACAGGTTTCTTTCTAATCAGAAGAGCAGAGATACATCATGATTCTGATCTGGACCGGTGACTGCTATATTGGAGAGAAGATACAGGCTTACGATAATGACTCGCACGTCTGGTTATTCAGCACATCTTTTAATTACAGAAAGAAGCGACAATTGCTACTTATGGCCTGTTATGTCAGATGAAGTCACTTCTGGGTAATAGAAGACATTAAAAGAGTATAAACCCTATTCATTATGAGACATATTGAGAAAGATGGAAGCAAACACATTGCTGATGTCAAGATGTTAACTGGACTAACTTAAACGGGCATATCATACTTGATGCACAATATATTGGTACCATATCAGTTATTGACCAATGTTAGATTTTATTTTCATTTAATGGTATCAGAGATTATCAGATATTGCTTAGATTAATTTCCTCTATTTTTACATTTAGTTCACTTTTGCTGTCATCCAAAACTGACTTAAACAGTGTTAAATATAATCTGCAGAATATAAATTTTTCATACTGTACATTGTAATGTTGTGATGCCTAAATGCACTTACAGCAAACCAACTGAATTTAGTTTTTGGTGTTTTCTTTTTGAATTTATTAAGATGGTGATGAATTTACTGTATGTCAGCTAAATGTTACTATTTAGGTTACATATATTCTCATTTCAGTTTTAGTTGGATTTTTATTTATTTCCAGTTTATTTCACGTCTGGTTATTCAGCACATCTTTTAATTACAGAAAGAAGCGACAATTGCTACTTATGGCCTGTTATGTCAGATGAAGTCACTTCTGGGTAATAGAAGACATTAAAAGAGTATAAACCCTATTCATTATGAGACATATTGAGAAAGATGGAAGCAAACACATTGCTGATGTCAAGATGTTAACTGGACTAACTTAAACGGGCATATCATACTTGATGCACAATATATTGGTACCATATCAGTTATTGACCAATGTTAGATTTTATTTTCATTTAATGGTATCAGAGATTATCAGATATTGCTTAGATTAATTTCCTCTATTTTTACATTTAGTTCACTTTTGCTGTCATCCAAAACTGATTTAAACAGTGTTAAATATAATCTGTATATAATCTATAATTTTATCGCTTCAACTTAAAACTTACTTTGGCAATATTTATCAACATTTTTGTTTAGTTTAAAGAGTTAGTTCACCCAAAAATGAAAATTCTGGCATCATTAATTTCTTTATTCTGCAGAACAAAAAAAAAAGAAGATATTTTGAAGAATGTTAGTAACTGTACAGTTGCCAGTAGGCATTGGCTTCAATACTATTTTTCCCAATACTATGGAAGTTAATGGGGACCAACAATTGCTTGGTTACCCACATTCTTCAAAATATCTTATTTTGTGTTCAACAGATAGAAGAAAATTCATACAGGTTTGGAAGAACATGTGGGTGAGTAAATGATGACAGAATTTTCATCTCATAAGTTTTTTGTGTAATATCTATATTTTTGATAACATGTTTTTAAAGGGGTCATATGATGCAATTTCCTTTCTCTTTGGAGTGTTACAAGCTGTTCGTGAATAGATAAGATCCCTAAAGTTGCAAAGACTAAAGTCTCAAACCCAAAGAGATATTCTTTATAAAAGTTAAGACTCGTCCACGGCCTCCTAAAACGCCTCGTTTAAACACGCCCCCACATGTCTACGTCACTGTGTGGGAAGATTTGCATAACGCCGCCCAAATGTTCACACAAAGAAAGAAGACGTAACTTTGATTCTCGCTGTAGTATTGTTGCTGTCGCCGCCGCCGCCATGTCGTGAAGCCGCTGTGTGTTTCGTTGTGAAAGCGAAACTACTTTGTTTGGTCTTCCAAAAGAGGACACAACTAGAAATCAGTGGTTAAGTTGTATTTACAACACTGTTCCAGAACAGTTCAAACCAAATATTCAGATGTGTGCAGCGCATTTTATGGAGGACTGTTTCCTGATCCTGGGAGAGTAGCCTACAATAACATGTGCACAAATAAGTCTGTGCACAAAGGTTGTTTCTATAAAGTGGGGCAATTCCAACTTTGCAAGGACAGACTGGCGCTTCTGACTCACAGCCTGTAAGTACGTTTTTTATATTTAAAGAATTTGCCACTGACGATTCAAATGTGAGTTTTGAGCAGTGTAGAGTAGCACTTGTTTGTCGTTTCTCCGATCACAACATGGTTTTATGTTTACTCGGTGCGATATGCAACGCAACGCGTAAAAAGAACGTACAAGTCATTTTAATCTGTAAGTATGTCCCCACTGGATGCAACAAATGCCTCGTTTATAATGGGTTTTATTGGTTTTGTCTCGTTGCGCCGGGACACGGCATCACAATATGGTAAGGGGCGTAAAATTTCCGTCACACGCTTGAGGTATTCGGCCAATCACAACGCACTGGATAGGTGGCCAATCAGAGCACGCCTTGCTTTTCAGACCGATGAGATTTGTAAAAATCGACGCGTTTCAGAAAGGCGGGGCATAGAAGAGCAACAATGTACAGTATGTGGAAAATAATGTGTTTTTTGAACCTTAAACCGCATAAACACATTGCATTACACCAAATACAAAACATAATGTTTTTTTTAGCAACGTCATATGACCCCTTTAATAGTTTTTGATTTATTTAATCATAATGACCATAATCTGTTAATCGTTCAGAATTTTAATAAATTCCATCCATAATATTATGTCTAATATAATATAGTATTAAGATTTAAAAGATTTGCATGGTAGTTTTGGACTGAGAAGGAAGTTTGAGTTGTGAAAGATACAGTGTGTTTTCATAAATTGCTTGCACTCCAGTAACATCTGATCATCCGCTGCATCTCAAAGCCATTTAAAATGTGGAGTCTCCATGGTAACCTCCGGTACAAGGTCACATCAAAAGACCTATGGTCCTATAAGCACATATTCTCCCATTCATAATCCATCAGGCACATATGGGGTCTTTTTTATGATGGGTGAACACCGTTAGACCGAGACATGTAACATAATTCAATGTAATGTAATGGAGAACGACAGAGCTAGAGAGAATGACCAGCCATACTGGACCAAGTGGGCATCATCTCCAGAGGTGTATGAGGTTAACTCTCTGGTGAGCGGTGCCGTAAACAAGCCTCTCTAAAATCAATGTGAGGGTCAAAGACCAATGAACAGAAGCCTAGAATTCTTTCTGAAAAGCTAGTTGCTGCAAAGACATCACCTTCATCCAGCTGGCATCTACATCACCACCTGTTGCCATGTAACTAACTTCAACATGAAAATAAATGATTAAACAAATAAATTAAATAGTTCAATAACTTTCTTCACTAAATTAGCTTTCATACTGCATATTAGATTATAAAGTAGGACTGGGCAATGAATTGATATTGATATTTCTTGACAAAAATAAGCTTGGTTGGTTCCTTGCCAAGCAATACACAAAAAGGGATCTTGGTGAAATCAGACATGGGTTTGGGTTTCTTCTGTGTTGAACCTTTTCAACTTACAGCAACAGCATACCATGCAACACAAGCACACATGTTCAGGGCACCCTAAATAACCATGAACCCAGCGTGGGATGAGGCCAGATCTGTCACCTCTGCATCTAGAGATTAGCACCAGGATGCATAATGCTGAAAACGCCTGTGGGCAGCTGTTCCCCTAAAGGTTGGGGAATTGAGTTACCGACACTGTGCTGAACATTTGTACAGTGACAGCGGGGTGTTAATGCACCGCATAACCAAAGCTGCTTGAACGCAAAGCTGTGTCATAATGACCATAATCTGTTAATCGTTCAGAATTTTAATAAATTCCATCCATAATATTATGTCTAATATAATATAGTATTAAGATTTAAAAGATTTGCATGGTAGTTTTGGACTGAGAAGGAAGTTTGAGTTGTGAAAGATACAGTGTGTTTTCATAAATTGCTTGCACTCCAGTAACATCTGATCATCCGCTGCATCTCAAAGCCATTTAAAATGTGGAGTCTCCATGGTAACCTCCGGTACAAGGTCACATCAAAAGACCTATGGTCCTATAAGCACATATTCTCCCATTCATAATCCATCAGGCACATATGGGGTCTTTTTTATGATGGGTGAACACCGTTAGACCGAGACATGTAACATAATTCAATGTAATGTAATGGAGAACGACAGAGCTAGAGAGAATGACCAGCCATACTGGACCAAGTGGGCATCATCTCCAGAGGTGTATGAGGTTAACTCTCTGGTGAGCGGTGCCGTAAACAAGCCTCTCTAAAATCAATGTGAGGGTCAAAGACCAATGAACAGAAGCCTAGAATTCTTTCTGAAAAGCTAGTTGCTGCAAAGACATCACCTTCATCCAGCTGGCATCTACATCACCACCTGTTGCCATGTAACTAACTTCAACATGAAAATAAATGATTAAACAAATAAATTAAATAGTTCAATAACTTTCTTCACTAAATTAGCTTTCATACTGCATATTAGATTATAAAGTAGGACTGGGCAATAAATTGATATTGATATTTCTTGACAAAAATAAGCTTGGTTGGTTCCTTGCCAAGCAATACACAAAAAGGGATCTTGGTGAAATCAGACATGGGTTTGGGTTTCTTCTGTGTTGAACCTTTTCAACTTACAGCAACAGCATACCATGCAACACAAGCACACATGTTCAGGGCACCCTAAATAACCATGAACCCAGCGTGGGATGAGGCCAGATCTGTCACCTCTGCATCTAGAGATTAGCACCAGGATGCATAATGCTGAAAACGCCTGTGGGCAGCTGTTCCCCTAAAGGTTGGGGAATTGAGTTACCGACACTGTGCTGAACATTTGTACAGTGACAGCGGGGTGTTAATGCACCGCATAACCAAAGCTGCTTGAACGCAAAGCTGTGATGGTATATTACACATGGAGGAGATTGGCAGGAATGTAAAACTTCCTGCAGGTCTGCAAAGTAAGATGGTCTTCAGTCTTCAAGTGGAAAATGGAATCGCGCTCCATGGAAGACAGCATGAGGGTGAGTAATTGATGACAGGATTGTAATTTTTCCTTTAATAAGGAACTATTTCAATGAATCACCAGGTATTTGAAAGCACATAAGGAACATTTTCAGAGACTTTTTGCCTTCCCCAGGCAAAACAGTCCAAGTTTCAAATACCCCTTTCCTCAAGACCAGTCCAGACAGATCTGAGGCATGTGGGCCTATGGGATGCTTTGGCCTAGTCTTCCACTTCAGCAACTTTTGGCCTGAAGGACTGGGTGCTTCACAGAGCAACCTCTGTCCTCATGGTTCAAAGACTCTGGGCTGAACTCACAGTTATTGGACCACTGTGAAATTAAGTGAACGGTAAAGACACCAAACCCAAAACCAAGCTAATAAGACACTAAAATCAAATAAAAACGTTGAAGATTCTATTTGAAAACCACAAAAATCTGTCAGAAACCAATCCAAAAATCTCACTTTACAAAGATGATTCATTCTAAGGCTAACTCGATTTGTTGGGCCATGCAAAAACAGGTAAGAAAGCAGCCAATCTGTACATTTATATAATGCGCTTTCAGGAACAAAATGGTACAAAAGTTGTCACTGGTGTAGTACGCTTTCAAAAGGTACTAATATGTACACTTTAGGTAATTATATGTACCTTTAAGATGCTAATATGCATCCTTAGGGACAAGCCAACTTCCAGAAGAGTTTAGCTCTAGCAAAGCCACTGGGAAAGCAAGCCTGCAACCTTTAGGCAAAAAAAGTGTAACGCTAACACTAATGCTGTGGCTTTGGGGTACGCAGTGAAAGAGACAAGAGGCTGTTTCTTTTTTTTTTAAAATGGATGTCAATGAAGGAGATACTTTCAGTATGCTGAATAAATAGCTTTTGTGAGGAAATAGCTTATCATTTAATGAATTGACAGTAGGGTTGGGTATCGTTTGGGGTTTTTTCGATACCGGTGCCAAATCGATACTTTTAAAATGGTTCCGGTGCCTAAACGGTGCCTGAACCGATACTTATTAAAAAATAAATAAATAAATTCCCCCAAAAAATGATGGATTGGCCATTAGAATAGAAATAGAATAGAGAGTGCAAATGTTAGAGGGTCAAGTTTTTTAATAAAAAAAACAAGCAGATAAAATTAGAAGTAGCATTAGAATCTGAGCTCATTGACAAATATCTGATCTTGTAAGATGTGCTCCCTTTACACAGAATGCGTGTGATCGCGAAATCGAAAGTGAAAGTAAACAGTGCATACACTCATTCAAAAATATTTAAATACACCGCATCCTGAGAGCGGCTCCCTGATGCGCCAAAATTATACACAATATTAGAATGTTTAAAGGAGTGGACACGAAAATCGTGGGAGCGAAACACATGTTGCGGGAGCAGGTGGCAATGGTCAGAGATTCAGCGGGAGAGGGATTAAGAAAACAGCCGAATTAAGAAATCCCGGCCGGATGCATTTTTGTAGGTCCAAAAAGAGGACATGTCCGGGGAAAAGAGGACGTATGGTCACCCTAATTTATTGCTAATCGATGTATTCTTTTTAAAGTAGCATATGGAAAATATTTTCTGCCTCTTTCTGTGACAAGAAGCCACATCAGATCACAGAAGGAAGCATTTGGCTGGTGTTGTGGAGTAAAAAGGTTATACTTTTTCTCTTTTTTTAGACAACAGGTTTAGAAATGTGAATACGATGTATTCTTTTTAAAGTAGCATATGGAAAATATTTTCTGCCTCTTTCTGTGACAAGAAGCCACATCAGATCACAGAAGGAAGCATTTGGCTGGTGTTGTGGAGTAAAAAGGTTATTCTTTTTCTCTTTTTTTAGACAACAGGTTTAGAAATGTGAATACAAGCGAGGTTTAGCTTTAGGCATTTTAATTTAAGCATGTTTAGCTTAGTTAACGGAAGGCTACCTGCTGCCCTCAGAGCAAGTGTAATTACTGCATTCGCGCGCTCCTCGAATGCTCTCATTTCCCGAGTTGTGCTTTTAAGTCGGAATGTGAAAACAACACAAGATGTGTTGGATTTGTATTATTAGAGCTTTCCGACTTGAGTTCACGTGCATTTTCTCAGTCGGGAAATAATTTTTCACGTGCGGTGCCAGTGATGATGCTTCTTACGTCTGTTTCGGAGAACCAGAGGACAAATATTTCAATCGATCGCTCGGGCATGGCACCGAAATGAGGCACTGAAATCTGCGTTCGGATTTGGTTCTAGTACATACCGGTTACATAGGTACCGGTGCCATATTGGTACCGGGTTTCGGTACCCAACCCTAATCGACAGCGTGTTCGCTAATCTTCAACATGTTTTACACTAAACAGTACTTTTGTTGGAACCTATATGCAGATTGTTATTCTTAAAAATCTTATTTTTTTAAGAGTTATTTTTTATAAAGCACATATTCTGCATGCCCATATTCTACATCCCTAATCCTACCCAATACCTAAACTTAACAACTACCTTACTAACTATTAATAAGCAGCAAATTAGGAGTTTATTGAAGCAAAAGTCATAGTTAATGGTTTGTTAATAACGAGAATTGGACCTTAAAATAAAGTGTGACAAATTATGTTCTTTCTATTGCTTCTAAGTTTCAATAAACAGACTTGAAATGTAATGACTTGTGACTGCTTTAATGAATAAAGGTAATATATATATATATATATATATATATATATAAATTTTTTTATAAAAAGGCATTCTTTTTATGGCTTCCAGATTTCAACAAATAAATTAAATTATTAGTGACTAGTATCAGTGTTAATTATGCCTGATTTTTTTAAATGACCAGAATAAAACCTAATCTTAAAGTGACAGAATTTGTACCCTTTTTCCTGAGAGTGTAAGAAAAACTCCCTAAATTCCATATGCAATGGGTTAATTCTTCCAAGAACGATCCAACGATAACTTCAGGCACTAAAATAACTTACCCATCATTTGTTTTTCATCCAGTTGCTTCTCTTCACTCGGCATCTCGCTGACAGGCTGGTGAGGTTCTGCGTCTTGAACTTTAGCAGGCTCCGAATCGTTTGATGAAACTGGCTGTACGTTTTCTACAACGTCCACGTGTGATTGAATCTCCGCCTGGATTCCTTCTGCATCCGCGCGCACAGGATCTGATTCAAAGCCTGCGTTTCTACAGACGGAACATATGTGGTCTTCTTTGGACTGTGGATGTGCGTGACCTTCACCTGGACGCTCACATTCTGGGTGGAACCACCTGAAGAAAAAAAGGCAGCCAATGAGTCACCTTTTCACTGCATCCAAAACTAGGTTCCAGATATGGACTTTCTGGATGTGTAACTGCTACTGAACTAGATTACAGATTTGCGATGGAAATGTACCTTTTGCATTGATGGCAAGAAAGCAGGTCTTTGTGGACGTCGGGATCTACGTCGCTGGGACATAAGCAGGGGACGGTGGTGTCCTGTTGATCGCCACAGTTTTGGCACAGTAGGCTGTTGTGGTGCCATTGATCACTGCTCCGGGTGCCACACTGAACACACATCCGGCAGTTCTACAAACACACGGCTACGATTAGCTATACTGCATTCAAGAAATGGGAGATAATGATAACCATGTCTTTCAGAGCCACCCATACCTTACACCTCCAGCCGTTGGTGGGGATAGAGTCCATAGCCGGCTGCAAGCAGAAAGTGTGATAGCCTTTGTCGCACATATCGCACACTAGCATTTTAGTGTCTTCTCCAGGCTCCCTGAAAGATACAAGAACACAATCAATAAATCGAATTAATTCTACCAATGCATAATATATTTTTTTTTATGAATACATTCCTACACTGTAAAAAATGATTGTAATTTTAACGGAAAAATATGTTCATTGTAAGTTCCCTTAATATATATATGGTGAAAAACTAGTAAATCTAATAGGACATCTGGTGCCAGATTTACTAACAGCTTGCACCAGCGCAAACCACCTTTTGGCATTAAAATAGTACTGTCAGGATTTACTAAAGACGCGCAGTAAAGAATTAGCGCTGAAAAGGTTATGTTTGCGCCTGAAATTATTGATTGTGCATTTGTAGGAGTTTCCCTTTCAGACGCAAGATTTATGGGAGGAAAGTATTAAAGGGGTCATATGATGCTTTTTTAAAGATCATTATTTGGTGTATTTGGTGTAACAGAATATGTTGACATGCTTTAATGTTCAAAAAACACATTATTTTTCAAATACTGTACATTATTGTAGGTCCTCTATGCCCCGCCTCTCTCAAACGCTTCGTTTTCTACAAAGTCCCTCCTTCTGACAAGCGCAGTCTGCTCTGATTGGCCAGCTGACCCAGAGCATTGTGATTGGCCGAACACCGCAAGCACTCGTCAGAAATGTAACGCCCCTTACCATAATCGCGAGCTTCATCTTTCAAAATAAATGTAAAAACAGAGCCCGAAAGGGGAACAGAGTCGCGTGACAGACGCAGTGATGAAGCTGGTATGTGTTTGCAGTACACAAGCCACGGTTAAGACTGCTGACTCCACTGTGATGTGACGCGCTCTCTCTCTCTCTCTCTCTCGCTCGCTCGCACACGCACGCACGCACGCCGCTCTCTCTCTCTCTCGCTCGCGTGCGCGCACACACACACACACACAGCTCTCTCTCTCTGTCTGTCTCTCTCTCTCTCTCTCTCTCTCTCCCTCACACACACACGCACACACCATGTGCAAAACTCCACATTTGAACAGTCAATAGCAAATACTTAAACTAATAACAAAACAGTAGCTGATTCAGAAGCGCCAGATTGTCATAGCAAAGTCAGAAT